CCCAAGATCGTTTTCAATTTTACGAACATTGTTGAAAACATTCATGGCTCTTTTTCTGGGGGTGGTTTGAGTGGGGGTGGGTCCTACGGAACCATATTATGAGACTTGATTTGGGCTAGCTCTGATAACAAAATGATAAGAAAGAAAAAAAGACCCAAAACACAAAAAAAAATTTGTTGATAGGAAACGAGGGTTACAACACACGCAAACTGACAATAACATCACCAAAACACAAAACGACACAAACGGACACCTTGAGAGTGTATTCCAAGGGCGGTGGAGATCAGCTAGGTGGATCGGAATGGTTGGCCAGCAAGTGGGAAGGCTGGACAGCAAGCGAAAAGGCTGTATAGCGAGCGGGGAGACTGTATAGCACACAGGGAAGGCTGGACAGCAAAAGAAAAAGCTGGACAGCAAGCGGGGAAGGCTGAAAGCAAGAGGGCAGGCTGGACAGCAAGCGCGGAAGGCTGTACAACAAGAGAGCAGGCCGAACAGCATGCAGAGAAACTGTTGGGGGTGGCCAACGGCTAAGGGAAGTAGATGAGAAGAGGTAGGAAAGATAAAAAGAGAGATACAATCACCACCTCAGAGTAGTATACAACCGGAGCCCCACCACCTCCTCGGATACAGCCCACAAAGGGAAAAATGGCTCCTCACAAGAATCTGAAATCAACAGACGGCAAAAACTCCATAGACTCTTAGCAAACCAGCATACATATAGCTCTGGCTAGGCAGGAAACAAGAAAGGCAGGAAGAGGAGAAAGAAAAGGAAGAAAAGGAAACTCCTACAGCGGGAATACTCCAGAATAGCCATTAAAATCTTTCGCTAAGGAGAAGCAAAAACAACAAGGGACGAGGCGCGGGAGGTCACTTTCCCCATCAGAATTCTCGCTCGGGCGGCTCGGCTCAGGATTCCACTGGACTGGTCTTCAATTGACCGGTCGGTTTGCTACGGGAGTTTTCACTCCCGTGTTCCTCCTATGAGATTTCTTGCTCCCGTGTCCCGCTGCTGAAGAAAACCTGCTCCAGTGTCCCTCTACGGGAGAAAGTCCGCTCCCGCGTCAATATCATATCGAAATTAGCTGAAATAAATAACATAAAGTTGTAGAAAATTTTGTTAGCTTTGTAACTATACCGAAATCATCACATTCCATCAAGAAATGAGTGTGTTATGCTTAAGAAAATGAGACAATGTCAATTATTTTTAGAACTTATACATTAGCTTATTTTGCCAGGCATTGAACTTTAGTTAATAGGCTTGAGTTCTTAAATTGAGGTCATCCTTCTCATGACATGTGATCTGCATAACATATCACTCATAGTCACCAGGGTAATCTAAATATAACTTGATATTCAGCAAATTGTTGATAATTTAAATGTCGGCTAAGAGCCTATAATACAACTCCTATAAGAATTTTTTTAAGATCTATAGTTTAATTGGTCCAAGGTCTATGGTACTGTTTTTACAGGTTCTTGCCTTCATTCGCCGATGACACTTAGGCCAATAAGGCAAATAACTTTGTTTAGAAAGATTCAATAAAGCTTAACCAAAATTGGCTAGGCAAGTACCAACAGACAAAGTCGTGTTGTTCTATGATGCAAGAGACTCAACTTATGTGATATAAATCAACAGTCATGTAAGTTCTTAGTAGTAAAATTACATTTATTTTGAGAAAAGTGTAGCTAAATGAATTACTAATTCACTTGTATTTTACATTTTTATATTTATTTACCATTTTAATATTTAATATATGTAATTTTATAAAAATTATATACTATAAAACTAGTAAAAAGGGAAAATAATACTTCTGTATTCACTTTAAATATAACCAAATAACTCATAAGTCTTTAGATTATGTTACTACTTTATTTTGCATGCATCTGACAAATTTTGCATGCATCTGACAAAATAGATAGAAAAAAAAAAACTCAGCATTTACTTTACAGAACCAATTACTCCTGAGCATTCAGAATGAACTGCATTTCATTTGTTTTGCATCTCATTTATGAATAATCAAACAACCCCTATACAAATAAAGAACTAAATTTAAATAATCATATCATATCTTATTAGTTTTCCTTGATACTTGTTTCTATTTAAAAAATTTTTTATTCTCACGGAACTATATCTAGTCTATACTCTAAAATCCTTGGAATTTTGAATAAGTAAATACTTCGAGCATTCTTACACCCCTTTTACAAACATGTTTTAAAAAGTTATAACAGGATGCATGAGACTAGCTTAGTGCAAGAAAAAGTTAGGGGTACATGAACATAGCTTTAAACTACATTGCAAAAAGATTTTTTCTTTAAATCTTCCCCAATGCAAACATAAGACCTAAAAGATCAAAATGGATGCAATCAACCCAATGCTACAATCTTATCCTCAAATACTTATATGCATACACGCAAGCAATTTGATGCATATGCATGCTTATCAAATTTATTATCATTTTTCATGGCAAAATTCAATAACTAGTATAAGATTTAAAGGCCATGGTTTACAAATAAAGATTATTTTGCATTGATTGCAAGCATTATGAATGTCAAACTTAACATCTTGGAGAGTTATACATAACTCTGACTGGCAATGATACTCTGGATGTTAGGAAGTATAAAGAAGAAGATAAAGAGGAATTGGAGAGGAGAGTTAAATGTAAAGAGAAAGCCAATGAAACTATCACACAAAGGGAGAAATTTGTCATCTTCTAATTTATTTTACTGAATTGGTCGCTGAACATGCAACACTTAAGCTCTAGGAGTTTTCATACTTACTGATAGCTCTTAAAGGCAGCTAGGGTTCTAAGTGGTCAAAAACATTCTTCAGTCATTATTATAAGGGACAAAATTGGAGTTTAAATCTTCAAGTCAAAAGAAACTCACCATTTTTTCCATCATTTCCTCTACAGCTTCTTGTCATTATTAAGTTGTCGGATGGTAGGAAGGGGGAGTTGTTTATTGGCCACTGTTGGGCCATCAAGATGAGTGGTCGCATGAATGGTGTTGAAAAGCCTAAAGGGCAGAGTGGCTGTACATTGACCATTGCGTAAGCATTAAAGAGATGTGATCATTTGGCGGTATTCATGATTAGTTAGATGCTTTTTCAAAAGCAGGGTGTAATTATATATGCTCATGAGTAAACTGCCACATGTATTAAAAATGCCTCTACGTGAAAGATGCATAGTATACAAGCATTTGTAGTAGATACCCATGAATTTCAACTCTGTTAGGCGCAAAAATACTTTGGCATCACATATATGGCTATTTTTTTATGTGTATTAATTTATCCAGCCTCCTCTTAAATTATCAGTCACTTTTCCAATTAATATAAGCTTACTAAATGACGGAATGCACGAAGCTTGGAAAACTTACGGTTTATAATTATCAATATTTTACTTCAAATGTTTTAATTGGTCCCTAATTATGAGGAACACTAAATAATTACTCATTAATCTCCAACAAGAAAATAGAAAATCATCCATGTATTCAAAGCAGAACATCCTTCATTGTATCACAAAGTGCCAAATTATATTTATAATGTATAATTTGAACAATAGCAGCTTATTGCCTCAATTTTTCTCATTCGAGCTGATTTCAACCAGTAAAGATGTACTAACTTATAACAGTTAACCAAACTGAAATAGATGACAAAGAGCAAAAATTAAACTATCCAATCAATCCTCCTTCATTCAAAACTAATAAATAGTTAAAATAAGACTGCTAATATACAGTGGGATCCGTTCCACAAAGTGACTGATGGATTCTGCTAGAAAAGTGTCCTAATAGAGGAAAGTTAACAAGAATCTGTTCGGACAAATATTCTCAATCCTTCCAACTAGGGTTAAAAAATAGCAAAAGTGAAAAAAAAAATGATCATTTTAATGCTTCTGCGTTATCCACAAATCAATCATTTCAGGGCTCAGCCATTTTCCATGATGACTGCTTCAATAGCTCATTGCCACTATTTTGATATTTACTTCACAAAATTCATCTTTCAAATTGACTAGTAAACTGAAACAATAAATAAAAAAATAATAAAGACATCCCTTACCAATCCTAGCTATCTCGTTCAGTTTGAAAAGAACTCTTGTTTAAATACAACACCTGCATTGCTCTTAGTCAGCCAAAGTTGCTGAAGACTATTTATGCCTCCAAGGTTTGTCATGCTTCATTTAATTAGAATGAACCAAAGAGTTAAATTACATAACAAGACCATTGCATGGTCTCTGAAGTTGGATAGAAGTATCAAAGAATTAAGCACAATATGTTTAGCACCTCTTGACACACTTAGCATGAATAAATACAGAATCAAGGTTAATAAAACCAACCCAGAATGATGAGATAAGCGTTATAATGATGAAAATGAACAAGAACCCAATATACTAAATCTTGAGATATCTATAATAATAAATTTATAAAACAGAAAAAATTGTAACCCGAAGAACAAATAGCCACGATAAGCATAACCTTCCATGGCATTCCAATAATCACTGCAAAGCAAGTGATATTATGAATTTTTAAAACATCCAACAAATTCATAAACCAACACAAGGAGAAATCAACCCTTAAACTACAGTTCTCCACTAAAGAAAGTATATTCCAAGAACTATGTAGGAAAGGACGAAAGTGCATGCTCATATACCCACATTGACAATTATTAAACACCAAAAGTTGGGATTTTTCTCTCTCCAAAGGCCAATAATAAGGAAGACTAAAAAAAACCCTTAAATCTTTCATCCTAGTCGTTGCATAGCAGAGCTGTATGTTAGGGGAAACCATAGCATGATACAATAACTCACGATAACTCTCGGTAAGGCAATGCCAAAAAGAAAACGGCATGAAACCGTCCAACAAACGCTAAGAACCTTTTTCTCCCACTTAAAGATAAATGGCTTACAAAAAGGGAATAGGTTGGAGCAAAAACAAACTAAAATGGGAAAAATAAACGACAGAAATCACCAGCATTGTCAGAGAAAAGAGAAACATAGAAGCCTACTAACCTGAAAAAATTGATTCCATGGCAAACGGATCTTCTCCCGAGGAGGAGAAAGGCGCCTGCTTTCCTAAGCAAAAGGCTCCATGAAATAGAGCAGGAAGGGGAGGAACTTCAACAGGGAAAGATACGAAGGGAAGAGGAGGAGAAAAGAGAGAGAAGACTGAAGGGTTCAGTGCGGGAGTAATGGCAGAGTAATGAGCGAAAGAGAGAGGAGAAAAGCGAAGTTGGGATACTTCAAATTATATTATAGTTTACCAAAAATGGAAAAGCATGCCTTCGGCGCTGCTGACGGAGAGGAGTGGTTGGTGCGTCCTGCGAGCCACACAAACAGGAGAGAGAATAGAGAGAGAAACCGAGCCTATTGCTTTTTTCCAAGGGGGAAATATATCGCGCTAATCGTCATGCAAAGCAAAGCAACGCACTATTGCACTAACATCTGCTCTATGCCGCATGCTAAAGAAAATTGGAGGGTGTGCTTTACTGTGATTTATTAAACGGTTTCATTTAAAACCGCCGGTCTGGTACAGTGGCAATTAAATATTACAATTTCATTTAATAGAAAATTGTTTGATGTGACGGATACAGATAATTTGTGATGATGAAAACGTTTACTAATATAATTTTTATGATCTTATAGGACAAATAATGAAGATATTGGAGAGGATAGGTATTTCTAAAAAAAAACTTGTGGCCAAATTGAAAATACATAAAAGGATCATCTGCAAATGACGCCATAATAAATGCTATGTCATGACTAAATCAAAATGAATAAAAGAAAATATTTGATTAGATATGTAGAAATACATTGTTATTATGGTCAGAACAACAATGGGCACATGTAGACGGCCCTGGAACAGGCAAGCTCAGTGGTTGTGAGGCAACTTGGAAGATGACAAGGATGCTAATGAGTGATGCAAGCAAGCTATTCTTATGAACTTGGGTGTTGATCTTCTTGCCTGAGTGGATGATCATCTAGCACGAACAAGTCATTAACATACCACACAGTTCTTATGTATTTGCATATCCAATATCTAAACTGTTCAACCCAAAAATGTTCGGGAATCATGCCCAAAAAAATAAAGCACGTAGGATAAGTAAATAAACAGTTGAACACAGGGCAGAGTTTTTCTTCATGAAAGGATTCTCTATTTATAGGTATGAGAGGTACCCTATGTAAAAAATTATCTTTATGCTCTCTTCCTATACAAAAAACTCAGGGGTACTAAGATAATTTACATGATACATTGTATAAATGGACCTTTTACTGATGGGGTGACCACTCACTTGCTCGGTTTGCTTTCATTCATTCGTCTCTTAGTCGAATGAATCACATGATGACAGTATGTGGTCTTCTTGTTCAGCTTCACCGGTTTTCCCATCGCAGTTCCTTGGTCTGCTTTTCCCCGCTCGATGGATATTATTTGCTCGACTGGTTCTGCGGATGTTCTTTGTTCGATTTTTTAGGTTAGTCTTCTCGTCATATAGTCGGGCGACCCATTGGTATTTTGTGACGACCTTCAGGTTTGACTGTTGTCTTTCCGAATGATCTAATTTGATTCCCCAAACCGGCTCTGACACATCTTAGTTATGGGTCCACCTCATTTTTGTGTTTCATATCCTTGTGTGGTGATTCGTGCCACCTTGACTTGGCCATACACATATAGTTTCCCAACTTTATTATTTTTTGAATGACAACTATTATGAATACAAGAAAGTTAATCACTTCATTAATTGCAGTTTTAATCAGAATTTAATAATTAATTTTTTTAGATTTCCGTGTGCTGCCAAACAGCTTTTGTCAGTTGTCATGACTGGCATTTCTCCTTTGTCTAGAGTCTGGATTATTCTTCATGTGGATGCTCTAATGGCAAGTGAAAAGAAAGGGCATCTGAGCGATTCTTTTGATGATGTCCTGATGAATGCCTTCAGACTGACTGTTGACCAAAGGAAAATATGTTTAGATTTTCATACCTATTTTACACTATTTTTTATGATATTTCACTTTAAAGAAAGGTATTTTTTTATGTTTTGTTGCAGGAATGATGAATTAGGGTCATTGGAGCAAAAAGATGCAAAAAGGAGCGAATTTGGTGCGAAAAGGACCAAAATGTGAAGATTTGAACTAGGGCGTCGACGGCGAGCCCAACGACGCCGACGACGGACTTTTCCTGAGACTCCAGAATTAATTCACTTAGAAGGCCCGCCGATGGCACCCTCGAGGCCGCCGACGGCCCCCCCGCCGATGGCCCCCTCGAGGCCGCCGACGGCAAGCTCCACGGTTATGTCCAACTATGCATTGGATGAGGATGAATTTTGGTGGGGTGCTTAGGCAACTCTTAGGAAAACTCATCAACATATTTAAAGAGAAGACTTTAGCCGAAAATAGGGAGAATGAGGCTCAAAATTGAAGTGTGGAAAAAGTGTAGAGAGTCTAATTGTGAGGAATTCTTCGAGAGATTGTAAGAGTGGAGGGAAAGTGAGAGATTTCTTCCTCATTGCCGCTTCGAAGAGGAATTTTGTGTGCTGTAAAGAAAGAAAGAGATTCAGAGGAAC